ATATATATATATATATATATATATATATGTTTCTTTAGCTCCCAAGATATGCTACCAATTAGCACAAACCGATTAATCAAATGCAAAATCGATTAACAGTTAAAGTTTGTTGAATGTGGATAAAATCATAATTTATTAATACTAATGATAATAAATTAATTTATTCATAAAGCCTTCTGAGAGTACAAAAGCACGTCGAATTGTTAGAGTAGATATTTCTGGAGTCAGTCAATAAGTTATTACGTTTTTTTAAGCTCATTGTTATTGAATTTTCTAATAACCTATCACTCTAATACAATTTTATTTTTAAAAAGAGAGTAAAAGAAGAAAGTATATACAAAATGATTTAAGATAAAACCAACCTCATATTTGAAAAAAAAAAAAGGATGATTAAAAATATAAATATGAATCGAAAATCATACATTAAACAAAAATATAACATTAAGAAACATAGAAAAAACCATTACAAACACATAATTTAATAGTTTTGAATTAAAAGTAATGTATTAATTTTTCGTATAGGTTACATTTGTCACATTCTCTCTTTCTTTGGAATAAATCCATGTATATTAGCAAAGATATAGGTTACATATTGCACGTTAACTATGCACTAATCTTGTATGCTGTTTTAATATTAGCAAAGATATGGACAGAAATTTGTCTATATATTTCTATTTAACCTCTTTTCGTAGGAAAAACAATTAAAGGTTACGAGTGAGTTTTCTCCTTTCATTTTTTAGTATTTATAGAGAGAAAACAGGTATAAAAGAGAATGTAGAAAATCAAAGCGTAAAAGTAACATTCTTTTCTATTGAGTACTTCCCACCAGACAAATTCTCCACTGCAAGTTTATGCAGAAGGGAAGTTTCTTCCTTCCTCTAATTTTCTAATTTACCAATTAGATACTGAGGAATACGAAACTAAATCACGATTACAGTAACAAACGAAGAGCGTGATGAAACTAGAAGAAATGCAGAGAATTGTTTTTGTCTTCATGTGGTGATAGCATCCAAAGCCAAGATGGTGCTAAGGTTCATAGGGTTCATGTAGTCTCTAGAACCTGACATGATTTCCTCCACAATAAGTCTGTTGGCCTTTTCTGATGGATGGAATGCATCCCAAAATGCATACTGCCCTCTGTTAGAGCACAGGTTGGAGAGTGGTGTGCACAATCCAAGACCATTGTAGGGTCCTTGTCCACAACAAGCTACTTTTGCCGTAATAAACCCTGCAGCAGCAACAACAAACAACACAAACCTTAGACCTTAATTGTTGCTTTATTACTCCACTAGTTAGAACGTGGTTTTAAAAGTTATGATGGCAACTACATTGTCTTTCAAGTACCATGAAACACAACTGGAACCACAGTGTAAAACTTGACAAAGAGGACATGGACATAGATAACATGAAAAATAATGTGCAGTACCAAATTGTTGGGGGTTAGTAACGAAGTTGTTATGCATTTTTCCTGTGTTTGCAGCAATGAAAACGTCCTTTCCAATTTTCCTGTTGATTTGTAGTAACATTTGCTCCAGTTGTGGGTTGAACAATTCTGCAGCTCGTTGTAGTTCAGCAGCACATTCTCCATTTCTGCCACGTTGAGCCAATTCTGAAGGAACACAACCCAAAGGTCCTGTGCCTGTCACAAGAACTCTCCTAGCTCCAAGTTCATACAGCTTCTGCAGAATTTGTACATGACAAAATGAAAGAAATAGTTAACACAACACATTATGCATTAACCCTTTTGTTTAATCAATAGGGTTTTACCTGCAAAAGCTTTTGGTACTCAGAGATGAGATACTTCACATATTGAGGAAGTGGGTATTGGCGAGACCTTGCTGAATTGGGCACCAGGAAGTAGTTGTTCACAAAATCATTTCCTCCTACAGTGATGAGGACCAGTGCTTGATTCACCAAGCTCTTAGTTTGTGAAGATCCTATTAGAGCACTCACTCGGTTTTGGTATTCCTGAAAAAGCTCTAGCTGTCTGTACATTCTGATGACATTCACCTGCAAAATGTTTTAGCTTCAGTTTTTGAACAAAACATCATATGAAAATACCAAGAAGTGAACTTACAAACTGAATTCCAGTGTCATTAAGTATTCCAATTCCAGCTGAAGCGAAATTGGCACCAACTAGCAGCTTATTTCCTCTTAATTCTGGACTCAAGTATGGCATTGTAGACTCAGAACCAAGTTGCTGACCTGACACAAACCAAACCACATAGTTAGACACACACTTTAATATATTAAAAGATACATTACAAATAAGGATTCAAATCGTTAAATGTCCAAGATAAAATGAAAACTTGAAGAAAAACAATGTGGAAAGAGAGAGATGTGTGAACTGAACTGATAAGATCAGGAATGTTGTAGCCATTGCAGAAACGACCAGTTGGTCTATGACTTGGAGCGTAATCAATGCCATAAGGAGGAGCATCAGCGCGTGCAGTGGTAGCCAAGTAATTGTTATTTCCATTATCAACAAGTGAATCTCCAAATATAAAGAATGCCCTAGGCCTTGCTTCAGCACCATTCAAAACGATCCCAATTACTAGAACACAACTAAGAACGAAACTTGAGAAGGTTCTCATATTGAAAGGAACCTTTTGGATGTGGGTTGGTGAGTTAACACTGAATGGAGAAGTAGTAGTTTTGGGTTATGAATGCAGCATTACGAGGGACTGCAGGCTTTATAACAAGCCTTTCTTATGTGATTTTGTACAGATCTTACTGGCTTTGGAGGTTGATTTATGGTGCTCTTTAATTAAAGCTCAATAATGGTTATTATTCTTCTTCTGAAATTGTTGGCATTTGATCATAAACATAAATGCAATAGGTTTGATTTTACTCAAGACTTTATTTTATGATACTCAGTTGGAGATATTGAAACTAGTAGTTGTAGTCTTATGCATTATGTAAGGAATATTATTCATCAATGCAGACTTCATATTCAAACAATGGTATTATTTCATTTGTAATCGAACTTTTTTGGTTTCTAATCAAGAAAAAGGCATTATCTTTTGAAATGAGCATTTTTTCATTTTTACTTTTATGATGGTTGATAAATATATTAAACTTATTGGTTTACTAATCTTGTATATACGGTAATAAAAAAGAATTACTTGAATGGTTGATCATGTACAGGTTGTAGCAACCCTATATTTATAATGACAAATAATATATAACATCTAAACATTAAAGAAAATAAGGTTTTCATAACATCTTTTTCTATATATAATTCACAATCTCTAGTTATAATATATTAATAGAGTTATATATATATATATATATATATATATATATATATAATTGTCTTATTAATTTATATATTCGTATTATACAAAATAGATATTGTCAATATCATCCAAATATTCAAGCTAGATAAGAAGACTTAGTACCATTTATTTGATGGACAGAATCCAAATATATATATATATATATATGCAAAGCTATTATAACTTACTTATTTCACAAAAAAAATTTCAAATAAAATAAGCGACGATGATATTTTAATAATTTTTTGATAATAGACTATGTGTCACTGTTTTATTGGTCCGTACATTTTGAACAGACTAATCATGAGTTATCACGTAAGCGATTGTGAAAGAATTGTAAAAAAAAATTGTTAAAAAGACTTTTTCCATATAATAAAGTATTTCAAAGTTTGAAAATTGATATTATAGATATAGATATATAGATGTAGATGTATGTATCTATGTTTGTGGGTGAAGGGACACAATTTAATCGTTATCGGCTGCATAAAAGAGAAATATTAATGTCAAAATAATTGTATGTTGAAAAAAATATTGTTCTCAGTTCGAATCAGCACAATTTATGAATGTTGTACACAGATTTAAAACAATAATTAGTATTCTAGTTTTTAAAACAAGTTGACTTAAATAATTTTACCATTTCAACAAAAACGGGAAGATACTTAATTTTAAAATATATTAAAAAATATAATACTAAATTAAAATATAAAATAAATAAAATTGAAATATATTTATATATATAGTAAACCAAACGAAGGGAATTCGTTTCCAATGGTTAGGTTTATAGAGTATGGTTATAACAACCACTTTAACTGTTTGGTGGGAAGTTTTAATGGTTTAACTGTAGCCTTTGAAGTTGATGAGTAATTGGGTCGAACAAAATTAAATTTTTGTAGCTAAGACTGCGGTGCGTGATTGATTTTAGTACTTGCCACGATGAATTTGTTATGATGTATTCAGTTCCCACTTCTCAGGCAATTATAAGTTGAATTGTTTGTAAGAGAAAGGGTAGAGAGTGAGGGAGAATAAACAAAAAATATTAGTTTTTTTGGTTTAAACAAATCAAACATTAGACTAATTCAATTGTTTTTTATTTTGAAATGATTAGTCTGGTCAAAATTTAAAAATAATAAAAATGAAAGAGATAATATATGTCTGCCTATTAAAGTATATTTCCAAATTTATATAGCCATCTATCTATGGTTATATTTTTTGGGTGTTCTATGCACTAACAAAATGTTACTTGCAAAATGTGAGAATGTGATGTAAAGTAGTTACTTCTTTAGCGTGTAGAATAAATGGTGGTATTAGTTTTGAATAAATGTTATTGATTGTATCTTGTCTTTAAACTTCAATTTTTCATCTCCATTCTAAGTATAAATAAAAAACAGAGGAGTTAAAATAGTTTTAAATATGTGAGCCAAATAGGTTTATAGTGGGTTAGATTAGAAAAAAAAACTAAGTGTGGATTAAACTGAACATTTTCTTAATTAACTGATTAAACAGGTTAAGGTAGAATGTGGATTGATTTGTAATCCATAAAAACAATCTTTTTATCATATTTTTATACTTTTTAATTATTGTTCCTACTATACTCAATAACCCTTTTTTGTTTATGAGTTAAAATATTCTTTCTTAATTCTATTTTTTTAAATGTATTTTAAGGAGAAAACTGTGACAAAGCTTTAGACTCTAAAGTGAACAATATTTCAAGAATTCGGTGATTAATCCTAACAATGTTCCTCAGCAAACTTGGGATTTGAACATTAGCACTTACCATGGGTCGATAATTAAGTTTTAACACGAACCATCAGTTCCCTTAATTAAATCCTCTATTAGGGATGAATCCTTATTCCCATTGTTGGTTTAAAACAACCAGTATCGTCGAGTCGTGCAGCGGAGTAAAATAGCGGAAAGCGTGATACGGTCAATTTAAAAAAGGGTTCCTTTAATTTTCTTACAAACGTTTTATCGAACAGTTGATGTGCAAAAAATATAAAGACTGTAGGAGTAGAAAAATTATACAAATGATTTTTATCCTGGTTCGTATCAAAAGATTCTACTTACAGTCGTTAATCACTATGAATATTGATTAACCTTTTCACTAAAAGCAGTTTCACAGTTACAAAATAGTTTATAGAAATCTAGAATAGCAAAACCTTCCTTCGACAAACGAACGGAAGAAACTTCCTTCGACAAACGAACCAGAAGCAACAACTCTGCCAACTTGAAGAGAACAGCTCCGACCTTTGACGCACAAAGCGCGAGCTTTTCCTATTCACAAGACTTGACAAGAGCAAGAGCTATCACTTGAGAACTTCCTCAGACACACTGTATTCTCAAATGGCATAGTCTCCTTTTCACTCACAGAGAGTTTTCCTTAGGCACAAAGCTCTAATACTCTCAAATGAAAAGTTCTTCTTTTTTTAGAGTTGTGAAGACCTCTATTTATAAGTCCTGGTTCGTGAAGAGTTAGAAACTGAAAAGACATCTCCCAACTATCAGTGATAATCGATTATTGTAAGTGATAATCGATTATCTGCGAAACTTAGAACAATTAGGATATTAACTCTTCAACTGGTCGGCTCCAATTCTTCACCTCCTTCCACCGTTTAGTTTTGAGCCCTCACAGCCTTCTGTTGTTCGACTCTATTCCTCACTGCCTTCCATCGTTCGATGCTCACTGCTCAGTCTCGATCATACCTTATTTGGTCTCGGTCATGCCCTCCACCGCTTGGTCTGTACTGCTTGGTCTCGGTCATGCTCTCTACCACTCGATCTCTCTCACAAATTTCCACCGCTCAGCTCAATTCTCGTATACCTTCCAACTCTTAACTTTTTCTTCTACAGTGTTAATCGGACACAATATTGTTCGGCTTGTGTTTGACGTTGTTCGGTCTTCAACTGTGTTCGGCCTGCATTCAGCCTTCATCCGTTAGTGATTGTTCGTCCTTCTAGCTGATGTACTCCGTTCGGTTTTCCTTGCGGACCAACATACATGAATGCTTTTAAACTTAATGCAACAAGGGTCTTCATATTCTTCACTTTGTAACATCATCAAAATCATTATCTTCAAGTCACCAATGCTCCTCATTGGTAACACCATTACACCTCAACTAGAGGGTTTATGTTCCTACCAAGCTCAATAGTCTCACATCGCTTAGGAATCAACGACTAAGACAGTTGAAATACATTTTCAACGTTTCACCATCTTAGGCACCTTTTAAGGATAAAACCGTGACAGAGCTCCAATTTTCAAAGCAGAAAATACTTTGAGAATGTAATGGTTAATCCTAGTGATGCTATCTCGACGAACTTGGGATCGGATCATTGGCACCCACCGTGTGGATAAGGTATAAATTATGAAGAAAGAGTTACGTGATGCCTACAATAAGTAAGATGACAATACAAGAGAAGTTGCAAATTCCTCTAGTGACATGGCATGCTAATAGCAATGCAAAAGGACTTTCTTGCAATCTTAGCCTTGTTCGGCTTCAACCATATCTTGACCTTGTTTAGTCTCAACCACTTTACATTGATAACTCTCGGTCATGTTTGGTCGCAACAACTCTCGGTCTCTACTTGTCGGCCTCAACATCTCGGTCTCAACCTGTCGACCTCAAATTGACGACCTCAACATCTAGGCCTCTGCCTATCGATCTCAACAACCCAACCTCTACTTATCGGCTTCAACCTCTCAGCCTCTACCTTTCTCTCTTAACATCTTGACCTTTACCTATCGCCTCAACATCTCTGCTTCTACCTATCGGCTTCAATCTCTTAGCCTTTTCCTCTCGACCTTAACCTCTCTACCTTAACATCTTGGCCTCAACATCTTGGCCTCTACCTGTCTGGCTCAACCTTTTAACCTCTACCTATCAATCTCAACGTCTTAACCTCTACCTGACGACCTCAACCTCTCGACCTCAACCTCTCGACCTCAACCTCTCGACCTTTACCTCTCAACCTCAACATACTAGCCTCTAGTTGTCGGCCTCAACATCTTGACCTCTATTTATGGGCTTCAACTCCTGAGTCTCTACCTGTTGGCCTCAACCTCTCGGTTCCAAAATCTATCGACTTTTTAGTCTTGACAACTCGTCATCATTCGACCTCAACAACTCAGTCTCATTTGGCCTTAACATTTCGGCCTTGACCTCTATGCCGCGAAATCTGACAACTTTTCAATCTTTATAGCTTGGCCTCAACTTCTCAGTCTCAACATCACGCCCTTTACGTATCTGCCTCAATTGTTCAACCTTAACATGTCCGCCTATATTGACTTGGAACATCTCAACCTATGGTGGCCTAGCATATCTTAATCTATATTGACCTGAAACATCATGACTTAAGATAGCTTAGAGCA